TGTTTGTTTCCAAGAGATAATTAGACAATCTGTTGAACATGATATATACTCTATTGTAAATCTGTCAAAAGTACTTAAAGAATACTCAGCAAGACTTTATTGTTATCTGTATTGCTAGCAGTAAAATAATGTCTTGCTGCTTCAGTGCAGCTAAAAAGCAGACATGTTACAGGAATGGATCCATGAGGCACGTCAGGTTAGTGAACTCCACTGGAGCATGAAGTTTGTGCACATAATGTCATTTGATTAAGCATTTCTTGAAAAATTCGATAACACTACAACCATGATAGACAGTGGTACACCAGTATAACTCTCTCTCTCATCCTTTATGACTTCTAACTATTTAAGAACATTATTTAGTGCTCACATGTAAAAAGACATAAGCTTGAAACTATCATAGCACCCAGTAGATTGCAGAATATATTGAAAGACACTATAAAAAAACAGATCACAACTCATTATTAATGCAGCATACATTAAATCACTGTGTCTGGTATTCTTTCGTAAACAGCTCAGCTAGAACAAAGAAACACAGGACCTGGATTTAAAGAAATGTTCAGCCTAATGCTTCTAAGAAGTTCTCAATCTAGCTATTGGAAGACAGTAAAGCATTGTACAACATAGTCCATTCTAAGGAGAGCTAGAGATTGCATGAGATGACTCACCCTCCATGTCTATACTTAAATTACATCAGTTTAGATTATTGCCAAACTAACAAAGTCTTTTTCAATTTTTTGACAACCAGGAGTGGAAATGTCAAACAGCATTTGAAACCCATGTCTCCCCTGAAGTAATGCAATTTAGACCATTTCCTTTTGCCCAATTGCAATCATTCAGAAGTCATTTTTACCATTTGAACTCACAGACTTTCCTTTTCATATGCTGTTGATGAAGGTTAAAATGAATCCTTCTTTAGGAATGAGCAGGCTGTGATCATTGCACTTAAAGTCACAGTCAAAATGCATCAGTTTGCAGGTGAATGAATAAAACTGGAGGACACCTGATCAGCAGACAAAAGCCTATTCCTCATTAGTCACAAACCTTTCCTATCCACTGGCATTTCATCACAGAGTTGGAAGAAACGAGAATTTCTGTCAGTGCAGCAAATAACAGTGGAGCTCTTTCAGTTTGAGAAAAAAAGGGCTCACACTAAGAAAAATAATTTCACTACCTAACATCCATGTGACAGTGCTGTTTCAGACTGGTGTTTAAAAAACTAATTAAAGATCAGACTGGATCACTTGCACAGTATTGTCAGTGTCAGTATGTAACAATACATTTATCAGTTTGGCAAAGGATAACAAAAGCACAATGCATGAGCAATATTGTAAGAGGAAAATAAGAAGCCATGATGCTTCATACACATCTTTACCAACATGTACAGCACTGACAATCCACAATTTCTAAACACTTGAAAGGTCATGGAAAAGACATCTAACAACATACATCCATTTTCTTTTCAAACGGCTTAGTGAGTGGGCTGAAAATACTTCCGCTGGCAAGACTGGAGTGTTACAGACCTCTAACCCTGAAGGCATCCTTTGTGTAGATTCACAAGGAGATCTGTTTTTTTCTCTCTCTTTCACAGCTGGAGAGACCTCCACTGGAGAGCTGGGTCTGAATTAATATTACCTTTCCTAGAAGCTGTCACAGTAAATGACTCTTCATCTAAGCATGGAGTAACTGTGTATATCACCATCAAGTTAAGTTTTTTGCTTTGGAATTGAGTTAACTCTTTAAAAAATTACATTGCACACATTCGTAGTTAATACCATCTAATTTCCCTTTATAAAGGTATTAAGTGCTTCACTGACCATTAAATACACAATGGTCTCAAACTAAAAAAGGTAATAGTAAAACAATTTAATCACAGTATGCATTTTTACCAAATCTAACTGTAAAATGACAACTTGAGACTACTTATCTGCTTGAAATAAAAGTTAAAGAAATCTTATTTTACCTGATATTTTAAAAAGTTGGAAAAAATTATACTGTTAAATGTCAGTTCAAATAATTTACATTCCTGAAAGACACTGATGTACTTTTATTCCTGGTGTTTTCATTTCTAACATTATTTTTCTTTGTAATAAAATGAAACAAGCAGACTGAAACTAAACATTTAAAAACTATTTGGAAATAGTAAATTAAGCGACTAAAGGTGGATCTGCATAAACAAAGTTTTAAGCAGCAATAATGATGTTAATCCACTGTAATACTGTTACTTCCACATTCTGTGTCTATTGACACTTCCACTCACAAGGGCAGCAGCACAGATGAATATCTTTGAATTGCTGACAATGCCCATGTGGAACAAAGAAAAGAAGCCAGAAATACTGAACAGCTCAGCACATGCCTGGCTGACCTACAGTACACCTAGAGAAGCCTACCTGCAAAACACAGCCTCTTTCAAGACCTTGATTGCTTTTGCAGTTTCAAATGAATCTTTTTCTTCTGAAACTTTGTAGAAACATATTCAATAAACATGAATAAGTGACTGGCCTAAAAATCCCATTTTTCTTTTTCAACGTCTCTCCATGTATAGATGTGTTAGGTATTTTGTAATCTTTTACTTTGACTAAAACTAGAAATTGAAACAGTTTTGGGTTCATCTGCATGTTTGCTCATGAAAAAAAATGCTATATTTTACTCATCTGCACGTTCATGCCTGTCAGAATAACTAACTGCCTTAAAAAACAAAACTTAAACAGGACAATCAAGTTGGAATTCCTTTTTTATTTCTAGTGGCCATAAATATACAGGAATCACTATGACTATTTCTGTGTGGTTATTTCAGTAACATTTGTATTCTCACAAATAAATACATTTTGGGAAGTCTGAAGAACACTTCTTGTTCAAACAGGAGGGTGGAGCCTGACTGTTGCAAGTCAATCTTTCATTTCTTACTTAGCAATTACTCCTGTCAATTCAATGTGTTACAAACAGGAGTCATTACTTTGATATAATCCAGCTATTACTTAGTTATCATTCTCATCTACTCATTCTATTACTTTGTTAATTGAGGTCACCCCCAACATCGGTATAAAGTAAGCCTAACTAGTATACATCTACAGTATAAAAACAGTCACCATCAAATAATGTGGAAATGACAAGGTAATATAACTCTTCAAAACGGCACAATAATGTTTTGAAAAGGAAATCCAAATGAATGCTACTATTAGAAAAATACTGAGAATATTTCTATGTTTTCATGTACAGTATGTATTATATTCATTTTTTTTTCATATGGCTGTGTTTGAGACCTAATGTTCGAAATTAGCTATGATGGATTGCCAGCTTTCCCTCCACACTCACTTTCCTCACAGCAACCCATGGCTCAGTGGTGATGTCAGGACACCTCATAATATTGCAGTGAAAGTTAGAACAAGTCAAACATTTTCAAGGTGTTTCATTCATGTGAAATGTTAAGTGTTTTACAAGTTTAGGCACCTGTAATATCCCATCATGTTACAGATTTACTAAGATCTTCCCTGAAAAAGGTAGCCATCACAATCCCTAGATTGAGCAAAAAAATATGGAATAAAACTCCTGTCTTAACAAATAATTAAATGATAGACCTGCTCAATCACACCACTAATAAAATAGTTACAGTATGTTTTCTTAAGTATTTGCTACAGGGTTGACCCAGCTAAACATAGCCACTTAATTAAAAATACAAAACATAAATCTGCCAAATATATTACTCATACAACTGATAAGAACTTTCATTTAGTACATAACTGATATGGGCTTTTAATAGTCTACCACCAACACAGACGCAATGTACTGTACATGCATATTGTCTTGACTAGTCAATTATTTACACTTTCCTTGCACCCCTGCTTTGAACTGGCTCACCCTTTATTGCTGTAAAAAGAAAAGATCCTCCGTATCCTTATCCCCTGTGAAAACAATCAGCACCCGTCGTTGCTTTGGAAAGTGACTCTTCTCTTCCCATTTTGAAACAGAAAGATTTACTTTTTGGGATGGTGTGAAACATTCTGTCCTGAGCACCACCATTAAAGATACAGTATTTTTTGCATGCATTAGCTCCCATCCATTGCTCTCAAACATCACAAGCTCCCATACCTCTGAAGCTCTTTTAGAATGGAGACCCACACTATATTGATTGAATATGGCTCATGGCTAAAGGCTGTAACACTCATATCTGATGTCTCTCCTTTTCTTACAAAACAGATGTTCATTTGTAGTAGAAATTATAGTATATTACATTACATTATAGTGGATTTGTGACCATAGCCAACACAACATCATTACCAGAATTATTCATATTATTAGTATAATCAGAGATTTCGTTCACTTTCTTGAAGTACCATTTTCTAAAAAATTGATTAAATTAACTATCTTTAGATAGACAAAAGCTAGCTTTAAATTACAGATTTTGCAGCAAATTACCTTTAGAAAAATACTTATCATTATCAGGCTTGACTCAATACTTCCATCTAGCTTTCCTTTCACAGAAGACACAGTGCTCTGCCAAAGCTGTCAGTGAAGATCTGTCAGCATAAGGCTTGGGCTCACCTTAGTAGGGAGCCCCAGCCAATTTGCAGCCTCCCCTCATCTGCTTCAAAGGAATCCAACAGCATTAAGATATACTCTCCACTATGTTCTCTACATGATACTATGCAACCTCCAGACAGTTCTCATCTCACTTTAATTAATTATTTCAATCAAGACAATTACAAGTATTCATTGAATATCCTTTAAGTGAATAAGTGCCATCAAAAAGCCACTGAGCTTATAATAACTGTAATGTATAGAAAAAGGTGTTTAAAGCTAAATCTTAGCCAGGAAAAAAAAAGAATATGTCTGTTATGTATTTAAAGCCTGCAGCACGACCATAATATTGTATTAAGAATAGGACATACACAAAGTAAGGACTTAATATAACTTCCAATCACAATTTTCATACAAACCCAAATCAAATGAGAAGCAATCTACTAATTTATTAGATTTAGTTCCTTACAACACAGTCCACTTACCTTCTTGCACTGCCTGAAAAGGGTTGTTGGGCTCGATAAGTTTTATGGAATGGGTGATTTTTTCACTCTGTAAAAGGTCGTCGTTGAGACTAAGATCTGAAATGGCCAACTGGAAAACTTCATCGTCTCTCACAGCATTTTCCTCAAATATGGCACCTGGAGAAGGGGAAATTAAATCAATTAATCTTAATCACAAATAAAGCATTAATTGCTGCTGTGCTGTAATACTGAATTATTTAAATGTGTGGTACTTTATTGTTAAGATGTTTCAATTTAGACAAGTTTGTTTTGTCTTTATTTATGGTGATGCTGCTCATTGTTAAAATATCAGTTGCCATGCTCTTGAGAGGTAAAAACATTTTAGATTGGCCACTCAAGAGCATTCAAATATTTCTAGGGAAAAGGTCTTCAACCCTGGTTCTAGAGAGTGAATAAAATTAATTTTGATCAGTTTATGAGGTGATTTGATTAAGTGATTTAGAGTCAGATAGAACAAAAATCAAAATACCCTTTAGCCTTTAAGGATCAGAGCTCCTTTAATTGAACAAAATACTTAATTGACAAATAACAAACGTGATCCCAGTTCATTTTTGTTATTGGGCAAATTGGCGTGGCAACTATTGCTTCTGTGTCATTGTAATGGGTCTTAGCTTCAGTTTTATACAAAACAAATACTTTATATGATTCGCATTCAAGTGAGATCACACCTCGCCGCGTACAATATTGTAATCCATCATGATTTCGTGATGCGCGTTAAACAACTAAGCAAAATTCTATGTACTATAGCTCGGTGTTCATCACACTAAGAGACGTTTTAGTCGCTATCAGCATCACGGAAAGCTCTATTGCATAGGATATTGGACATTAACAGACTATTTTGTTAAATTCATGACATTAAGATGTTGGTAGAGCCCGGGGGAGCGCTCCGCCGGGTTTTCTAAACGTTATATGCCGAAATGTGTTACCTTCTTCTGAGCAACATTACTACCGAAGAAGGCCATTTTATACAAAATTGAACTGTCGGTTCCGTAAATGCAAGAGTGAGTTTTGAGAGAAACAAAGGATCAATAGTAAACCGATAGTTTTGGAGAGTTTACTTTTTAAATTATCAACAACACATAAATGACCATAAATGCAAAGAGTATTATCTCGTATTTCTCCCAAAGGTTGTTAAAGGGAAGAGTTCCTCTTCTTTAATAGTAATTCCCCAGGGCAATCTGTCTCATACCAAAATCACAGTAAGACCATGTGCTCTTTAGTGGCTCGTTGAAAACACAACTCTGCAAACTCTGTGCAGTGACTTAAATGCCTTTTCATAAATTGATGCAATTTACAATACTCATAATTCACATTACAAACCGCCCATCTACGGAGAGCTCTTTTCATTACAAATTTCTAATCTGATCTAAATTGCCTCGGGTGAGCTCTAATACAGTACTGGTATTTTGCTGTTCTCTGTCGCCAATTAAGTTTGGATTCATACTCTAAATATGAATTATTAAGATTACGGCCAAGAGGCACACAAACTGGTTATGATACTCAGCATAATATTACTGGATGGATTGCCACTGGCCAGTTTTATCTGGACAAATCACCCCTCAACCACCCGTCTCACATCTTCAAAAGCTATATTTTGAGCACTTGTATTAAAATGCATCTACAGTATGTCAATAAAAAGCTGTATCGATTTCTTGGGAATTCATATTTTATTAATATCCCGAGAGACTACAGACGGAAGAGACAACAAGGCGAAGATGAACAGACAGACAGAACCAAAGAATGAGACAGACAAACACTGAATAAGAGGTGCTGGTCCTATTTACCTAGAAGAAAAATGCCACATCTGCTCAATGTTTTGCCAGTAATACCAGATTGGATTCACAATATTAGAGCTCGCCTTCCAATTACTAAACTCGGTTGGTCTGAGGCTTTCTAAATCAGCACAATCACACTGTAAATCATTGCCGGCACGACTCCGCCTTGCCTACAGATATTGATTCATGGGGCAGCCTTCGTTTTCTTTATCTTATATAAAAAAAAAGAGGAGACACGCTTCGCTCTTGGACTGCAACAATAATGAAAGGGGATGTGACAAAATGTAACTAAGGCGCGGGAAAGGTCGCGTTCAGTTTATTCAAGTTGCAGGAGCCTGCGAGTAACTAATCGCTAAACAGAGGCCGCTTTCGACTGTGTGGCTGGTCTGACTGCAGGAGCCAAATCAGATCCTTCTGCTTTTGAGACAGAGACAGAATAACACATGGAGGTTGTTAAACGTAGCAGCAAAGGAAGGAATCGAAGCGACTTTCAGATTGCGGGGAAGTTTAGATTCTTCAAAAAAGATGTCTGAGAATGAAATAAAATGAAGTTCTAAGACTATATAGTGTAGTGAGGAATACACAGTGAGCTCCAGAACATATTCGGGATTAATCTGACATTACTATTTTATAAACTATTACTATTTCGGTGCCCTTTGTTTACTGCTAATTGCTCTACTATGAATCACTCACAATAACTAAATTAGCTTTCCAACTGCAATTTAAGACATTTTCATTATGCTGCTTTGGTTAAAATAGCTTGTTTTTCAATACTAAACAACTGAACGTTTTAGCAACAAGACTGGTATGACGTAAAATATTTATTGTCGACTAATGGATTTTAAGTGTTGGTACTGTCTCTCTACTGCGCAGCTTCCTTCTAACGTTTCACTTGGCAGAGCCATTCAATTAGTATGTTTTAGTATATTTAGCACCACACAGTGTATATAAAATTACGGAGTTTAATCAATAGATTGTAACTGCAAGGAATTAAGCCAAACCTGGAGCACACAGGAACGCTTAGGGAATCAATGCATGAGATCTCCGAGAGCATTATTTTTTTAACACTAAGACAATCATTTTTACTAAATGTCTTATTGCCGTTAAAACGGTCTTTTTGTGAAACTTTTTAAATCATCTCATAGGAAGTGTGTTTTTGCAGAGGTGTTTTCTGCAGAACTTAAAACGTTTAAATATGGAATACGGATTCTTCTTTTCTTTACAAAATGCTGCATTTTGGATAATAAAGTTATTCAATATCAATACTGATACATACAGTAACTCTGAAGGGTTCAGGCTTTGAAACTTTCGTTAGCAGGCCGCCTATCTTAAATGACTTCACAGGCTTCATTATTTAGCGTGTTGAAACGAAGGGCTAAATTTTATTCCCGGAATCATGTGCTATTGATATCACCTGTGATCTGTGACTCAATCACAGTGATGATATATTTATTACAGTGCAAGCTCTCTTAACTCTCAGCAAACACATTGAGCGAATTTTGCCGATTTACTATATGAGCTTTAACTGTGCCAGTTTGACAACGTACACAAAGAAATGCAGCTATTATTTGCTATATAACAGTATTCAGTAGGCTAAAAATAAGCATTCATGTTGAACTGAATTTTTATAATACAGAAGCTAGATAATACCAAACAACAATCAGATTAACTACAGAAACGCAGTACACACTCTACACTAGCAACAGCTTTATAATTGTCAATACAATGACAGTACGTTTGGATGTCATTAGCAAGTGCAGATTCCAATTTACTATATATTGATTTCTTACTATGCTTTACTATGAAAATATACTCATATTATTGATTAATTATTTAGAAAGCCCATTAAAAGTGTATTTGTGTGAATATATAAACATACAGTCTCACACATGCTTATCTACCAACATCTTAACCTGTTGCTTGTTACAAGTGTTAATAATCTGTCCCGACAGGGTACAATAAACTCCTTCCAGCTGAGAAAATATCAGAATCAGAGTTGAGACCAGATCTGAATTTCTAACTGCAATCTCGGAGGGTGTTTATGATGAGCCAATAAGCATGATCATTAGATTCCAGCAAAATATAATGATTAGTTAAATCTTGAAGACTGCTTGCCTTAGAAGGGTGATGTTAATGCTTATTTTTTGCCAATCCCGCTGTCATTTAGAACCTATTGTCGCCAATGTACAGTATATATATATAAATGTTTAATATCTTAGAGATTAACGTGACAGTATCTTTTCCATCATAACACTTTTTTAAACAAACCTACTCGATTTATTACTAAATCGCTTTCTTATCAGGTATACATTTCATAAGCAAGGCTTCGCAAAAAAAGCAAACATTTACATGTTTCAGATCACGAACTACACAAATAGACATTTGATACTCAAAACACCTGTTCTCTCACTTCACCCGCTATCGCTTCCCTAATAGATGCCAATTACACACTGCGAAAGAAACCAGCACCCTAAACTAAAAGAGAGCATCTTTACAAATTAACTTTTACTGATAGTGACTTAGAATACATAATGCAAAAACAGAAGGTCATGTAGGAGATGACCCGAAATATCATACATCAGTAAGAGCTGTTTGTTAACGTAGTTTTCTGCAATTTGAGGTGGATATAAATGTATTTTTTATGTCTTAGTCAGGAAAGACCCTTAGGATGAAACATCTGTTAATATAGAGCAGAGAATTCAAGTAATCGGAGTTCCAGAATACCCTGTGTAAAGTTCCAAGTAGGGAATAAACTAATACATAGCAGCTAGGGACGTGACGTTTGGTATTAGAGGGAATTTAAAACAAAGGAACCGTGGATTTACCAAACACGACATTATCTGTTGCGTCTCGTTTAAACTCGAGCACCATACTCGTTTTGAGCAAGAAAGACCTCTGATGGCGAACAGAGAAGGATTCGGTATATTGGGATCATAATGAAACCAATACGCTCTAAAACAGAGCAGGTTCAATAATCGTTTTGCATCTCAAAGGTCTTTGTAATTGGATTTCTAATGTATGAAATCGCACACGAGCACGCCTTTCTACTCTATACCACTAGAAACCCAACCGTAAACGCAAAGAGAATATCGGGGGAGCCCAAAGGTAACAGATGGTTCCTTGCATAGTACTTTGTCTGTCCATTAAGATTCTTCAACACTAAAGCAAGAGCAAAGGGGCTAAAAAGAGCAACGCCTGTAATTTTCCGCAACAACAGCGAATCCATTCAAAATGACAGCAGCGGTAGTAGTAATAATAATATGTGCGTTTCATAACTCGCTTGCATTGAAATTTATCTATATTGGTAGTCGTTGGGCAATATAATTCGGGTATCAGCCTTGTACCCAGTCTTGTCTTTGCGTGATTATCTTGCACATCTCTCAGTTTGTTAGATACCTGATAAAAATAAGCATGTTTTGAGTAGAACCCCTTTTAAAACACCCAACTTGCTGGTTTTGAATACCAATCAACTCTGCCTGAGTGCCAAAGTGCAGTCCGCGATCTAAACCAGCCCCGCATTTTAGTGCCTCCCTTGATTTTTAATACAGAACCGCAATGCTGTGCTTAGGTTAGCTAGACGTGTTTAAGTTGTGCTCAATGATAATCTGATCTTCTGAGTATTGTAAATTTCTTTCCATGCATTTTAGTGGCCCACAGTTTCAATCCCTTAAATGTCTACAGAAGAAAAACAACAACTGGAGGCCAAATAAAAGTGATGTGTGCATTTCTATGCAAAACGTGAACTCTCGCTGATAACGTCGGGGGAGAGAGAGACAGAAGAATCGCTCCTGTGGTGATATGATATAAAAATGTGGACCAGAAGTTGAGCACTAAGTGACATCAGCCATTGATGACTGTGTGTGTGTCTTTCAAGGGGATTCGGAAGGGGACGGGTAATGGGGTAGGCAGAGTGGTCAGTATTCGTTGCAAACGAGAGAGTGGGGTATATTGATGAAGAATTGTTTGTTTGCGCTGCATTCTCAAATGATTTTCTCCCTTCGTATGTTTGTATTCTCCACTATTTTACGTTAAAGCGGAACCTCGCTTTAAAATTCCCTTTGTCACTCCCGGTCGTCACAGCCCTGCTAAATGTGCTTTTTTGATGCATGATTGATAAGCGTAGGCATCCTCGTGAACCTGGTTTAGGTGTTTCGGTCCTTCATGTTGTGTATTCGGACTCTGTGTATCTCGTTAGGATTACTTCATTATCGCTGTACGGTTGCCACTTTCCCCCTATTCACAAAATGCTTGTATGAAAAATAAATACACCTCTATGTATAAGCTTTAGCTACTGTATCATGCTGCAACTGGTTAGTACAGATACCGTCACCGAGTTCTTTAACATCCTAAATATAGCCATTATTAATATTTCCCTCACGTTCAATACGAAGTTCAATCTTATAGGTGGTTGGGGGAGGGGGGGGTGGAGTAACATACAGCGTTACTTTATTTTGCATTACCGAAAAGACTGGTGGTCCAAGTCGTTGATAAAAAATAAAGTTGTTTTTTTTCTTTAAAAATTACTTTCCTGCAGCTTTCGGTAGTTTACTTTCTTTACAGCTTTAAACTAAAATGTGTTACACTTTGGCGTTAATTTAATTCTACACGCAGACAACGAAGCGCCCACAACTACCTCAGTTTTATTCAAAGCAATTAAAAGAGATACAATTAAAAAAGACACTCGAATCACAATGCATCATTGGTCTACCCTACGCGCAACGCTTTGACTACTAAAAGGAAGAACACACAAGCACAGATAAATCATTCCAAAAATTCTAAAAAGATTCTTCGTTCCTATGAACGTCACATCCCTCTCCTTTATTCTTGTCAAAAGAAAGCCCTCTTGTTCAGCAGCAATACAGTAGATCCTGCAGTTTTCCTATTACATGCGTTCAAGTGGTTTGCACAGCCCGGTTGCTTTACTCGGCTTGTCTCCATGCCGAGGCTCCTTACCGATGTGAATGATGGAGTCCGCTCGTACTGAATTGCTTTGCAATATCCAAAAGGAAAGGGAGACTATCAGCAATTCCATGTCCAGATTTTACCAAAGCAGTTCATCCAAGCTCCTTCAGTTGTTGGACAAATCCAGTAAGGGGATAATTAAAAAAAAAATGTAACACAAAAATAGAAAACATAAAAAGCAGTAAAATATAGATATATTTTTAAAGGATGACAACGATTCCAAAGGAAAAATAAAGAGTAAGTAAAAAAGGAAGGGAGGAAAACAGTAAGGGAAAAGGCAGGGAAATCCTTGCTTATTAAGAGGCAGGTACTGAATCCGGCGCTTGCTCCCTCGCTCTCTCTCTAGCCTGCGCTCACGGTGTCTGAGACATAACAAACTGCAAACTGCGGAGGAGGGACACCCCCCACGCGCTCTCTCTCTCTCTCTTTCTCTCTCTCCAGGACCACGTGACTGCAGAGACTTTCTACACCAGTGAGCTGTCCGGAGAAGGAAAGAAGAGATGGAATTCGAGCGAGCCGGAGACAGACACCGGGAAAGCGTGGAGCAGGGAAGGACCCCGGCGGCTCGTTCTCTCAACCACCAACACATGCACACCGGGGGACTGAAAACTGACTACACAGCCAAGCAAAGAAACAAACGTATAAACATATAGAAACATCATACGTGCAATAATAATTGTAGGACCAGTAGCAGGTAAATAGGATGGATCCATCCGAGAAACTAACAATTTAAGTAGGTATAAAAAAGTGAACCCAGAAATTAAACCAGTCTTCTAATTGTGAGTAAAGGAAAGAGAAAAGATGTGTTGACTTTGGTGAATGGGGTGGATTTGAAAGTGTTCGTCTAAATAACCGTATGACGCGAGTACAAGTTTCACTTAAAATGAGAGAGAAATTCTGGTGTGTGGAAACACTGCCCGCAGCTGGAGCTGGAGCGGCCAGTGAGACGAAGCCGGGATACGGTGCTGGAGCGTCGCGAGAGAAGAAGAATCGAGGTCTTATTACAGGAGCCAAAGGAATCGAATACACCCAACTAAAAACGCCGTGGAAAAGACCATGATGACAGGGGCTTTAACGGGTCCTTTCAGTCTCAGAGCCAGAGTAATTGAAAAACCACTTCAGACATGTAATGGATCGCAAGGAGCTGACAAGGGCTGCGACTTAGTTTAAGGATAGAGAAGACTGCAAAGCGATATACACAGGGAAAGTTTTTTTTTCGTCAATTTAAAATCAATTTGGAAAGAAAATGACCTTAGCAGGCAACTATCGCATATCTACAAATATATGTAACGGTGACTATGATGATGAAGTTCGATAAAAATAGGAAATCATCTGTTTTCGTTGATGGATTAGGCGCATTGGTCAAAGGGTCAAATCATACTAAAGCGTTTAAAATGATTTGTTTTAAAATACATATATTACATGTGACCTTAAACCATTAGATACGTTTTTTTTATTTCCTTTGAAACCTAAGCCCGTCACGAACATCTTACAGATCTTGTAATGTTATGTCTGAAAAAAGATTACAAGAAAAAGACAATATACTGTGAACTTCAATTTTCTTTTTGAGATTGCAGCAACAGGTTCACATGAAGCTCTCAGAAATGAAAATACTGAAGTTGAACCAGGACTTGTCTTTACAACAATGCACGTAACTCTAGGGAATAAAGAAATAACCTCGTGTTTTGGAACTTTTCATGAAAGACGGATTCCTGAACAGGATAAAAAGTCTTTTAGCCATGGCTTCACTTGATCTGTCTTTTTTCTGATTGAAGACTTTAAATGGAAGATGAAATCAGAGCCTGATGGGAACGAGATGTGAGGAAAATGATACTCTTAATCTTACAATTAAAGGATATTTCTTGAGGCATTATCTAAAACGGAAATATCCCTTAATTGTTTGACTAAGTCTATTAGGACGCAGAATCCATTTCAGCACCATGGAGCCCTGGACAGCGCCCAGTCTTAACTTCTTTGACTCCTTGTGACACAAACCTGACTGTAATCAGCTCGTATCAAAAGATTTGTATAATCGGAGAGATCTACACTTTTCTAACACAAAATAATAGCTTAGCAGCAACTTTCGAATCGTTGCTCCGGGATATTCCATAGCTTGTCAGAATAACTGCTGATTTCTCTCCCACTTAGCCGCAGAGTTAATAACCGATGAAGATATCACTGGTGTTCAAGAGGCCAAGGGTCGTGAAAAGTGGAAAAAAAGTTTTGTTTTCGCTTAGTTTCTCCATTAGGCAAGCGGCACAGGAATTTAATTGTTAAAGGCAATGAAACTCGACACGAAGGTTATCGAATCCTTTCCTACATTGTGATGGGATCATGCTCAGGAAGAACGAATGCTTTAACGCTGTTTTGCTATTGTGGTGTTGATGTTTACGGCCATTTAATGTTAAGTTCTTAATATATATGGTAAAAAACAGTCGCAACATAAAAATACTTCAAATAGAATAAATATATACAGTACAGAATATCGTTTTCGGTTAAAGTCGGTTAAAGTTAAATGAATAAGCTTTGAAAAAGCACAAGGTTTTCAAGTGTCCACTGAATATTCGCTAATTTACCGGCATGTGCTTCCATATATCAGACACTTTAAGTCAATAAATAAATGCGAAGTTCTTGTTTCATTCTACTTCGATCTATAGAAGATATAGAACGTTGTCTTTGAACAATTAGCATTACTTTGCTTGCCTTTTTCTTTCTATTTTGTTTTTCGACAAATAACTCTCAACTACGGAGTGAAGCTAAAACAACATTCTAAAAAGGAGTCATAATAGTTTTGTGATTACTTCAATGTGTGTATACATATCGATTAAACTGGATGCCTGTCCCAGACTTGAGAGATAATAATAGTGTCCGGGTCACAGTGCGGCTAAGACTAATCACACCTTTTCCCCAAGAAAACTAACATTTTTTATAAAAATACAAAGTTAGCAATTTCCGGAAATGCGATTTGATTTGTTAAAATTTTATCGTATAAGATCTAATAGGGTTAAATTAGTCGATGTCTGTGTGAAAGGGGAATAAATCCAGTAAAGAACTTCTACTGTTTTTCTTAAGTTTGCTATCTAAGGACGCTTGGGGTTGGAACTGTGGACACTGCATTCCTTGTGCTGCCTGATTTAGAACCGTCTTCAATATTAAACCTTTGAATTACAAAGCATTTGGGAATTTAAATAGGACTCGACCGCGCACCACTGATCTCAAACACATAACACCCTGTATCTGCATCGAATACAAATCAGATTTTAATGGCAGGAAACGCTCACTGAACGCGAGACAGCGCCGTGAAGGCAGCTGTGCTCTTGGGTAACAAGTGGTTGCTGCAGCTCATGCACTGGAAAAACAAAATAATCGATGTAGTGATTTTTACCAGATTGTGTAAAAGGTGTTGTATATTCTTCTATTAACGTACCTATTCCGAGTGGTAGTTCATTTTTCAGTGTGTAGAATATGCACATATGCACATAACGGGTAATTGTCTTTCAAAAGTGCTTTGAGCAATCTTGGTCAGGCGCTGATTCTCGGTTTCCCGGCCTAATCCATTGTTGGAGCTTCGTCACGGTTTCCAAGGTAACCAAACCTCCAGCCTTGATCATTGAATTCCTATAGGAAAAAGACATCGCTGCTTTCAACTATGGAAAAAAACTTAATGCATGTTCAATCTACATACTGTACTGTATATAGAACTATATTTTTGTGGGAATGGGAAAGAGTAAGGTTTAAGGTGAATGAAAAAGTGCAGAAAACCGTAATAGGGAATACAAAAATTGTGATAGCGTCTACGTCGTGCAACTTTACAATGATGGGGAAATGGGTGATTGAACATGGCTTGAGGGTTGAATTTTCAGCGGTTTCAGTTTTAACACTGCAACTGTAGCCATATGCTCTCGATTCTCCGGACACTACAGTACTGTACAGATTAGACAATCTTATAAATTGTGTTTTATAGGACCAATAGATGTGCATAATTGTTGTTCACTCTATTATGCAGACGAATATGCAGAAAGGTGCAAAATAGATTTCCTCTGTTCCTTAGAGTTCAGTATTAGATGCGTTGTTGAAATAAGGCATTGCATGATCATACGAAGTTGACGTATTGTATCATGTAAGATTTAGGGGGAAGTGAAAAAATGTAACCCGAGGGTTCTCTGTCATTATAGCGATCTCATTTTATTTTTGAATGTATGTGTTAGATCTGAACTGAACCTTCTTATTTTCCAAAAATATTGTTAATACATTTCACCAGTTTCAGTCTTCGATAAAAGTTTCTTCCTTTGTTAAGATCTAGCAAAACGAAATTTAAATACAGATATCCGAGGACATAAACCACGAATTGAATGGATGTTATCGGGATGGATGTTAGGGGAAACTGTGCCAGACATTAGACACGGCAACGCTGCGAGCCAGATAATAATTTTATATTTTATATTACAGTATTTAAAACCATATGAATTATGTCATTCATGGGCAAAGAGATATGTTTAATTGGCACTTGGAATATAACTTTGTATCATTCATAATGAAGTCTTGATTATACAGTACCAGCAGAAAAGGTGCTTATTTGAAAATGAAGTGGTGCATACGAAACATGTCTGGTCCGCCTAAAAGATGCCTGACTGAGTAAAATAAGAAGGCTAAAGTTAATGGTCAAATATATTGTTACATTTTTTACTAATTTATGAGTAGAATATAGAAAAAATATGCTTTCCAACTCTATTCAAAGCACTGTGTCCTTCTATTAAGAAGGAATTATATGGAACCTTCTCTATATTATACAGTATAAGTGTCAAGTTTAAATTGAACAATGAGAATTACGTATTCACAGACAGAATATCAGTTAAACTATTTTACAGGCTGATTTTGAAGCAAATTACTATAAATGAATTTATATTCCTATTCAACATTCTTTCTGCTTTACATTTCTAAGAATAAATCTGCATTTCTAATTACAAAAATGCTACAGTATGTTTAAAGGATCATTATTAATAAAACAAAACACATTAAAAGGGCCTAAAAGAAATCATAGATAGAAATGAGTTCTTGAAAGGAAAAAAAAAAACAGTTTTCTCCTATTAATAGTCAGGAGTTCTATATATGTGTACATTTCATATAAGTCACTGTGCCTTTAAAAACCCATGTGCTGCCTCATTTAATGCTGCTGAAAAACAGCTTAATAAAAACATGAGATATATGCTACTGCCAACTCCTATCATCAATTTTTACATTGACGTACCATTTAACATTAACTCTGCTTCATTGGCTTTACATCCCATTTTATAACCAATAGGTCTGAGTTGTGTAATTGTGTACCTTTAATCCTTTAATCCACCCACTCAATCTACCCAC